ACGAAAACGAAACATAGACAGGAGGCGTAATCGTGATAACGACCGCAGCAGAACAGTGGCGCGTAATAGGCTTAACTCATCACAGTCAGCACCTGACCCTGGACAATCTCAACTAAGAACTATTAGGTTACAAATGCGCCCTAACACTACCCCAAAACGACTTTTCGTTCTCAATTGGCCCTCTATCAATGACCTGTGTGTCCTGTACAGCGAGGCATTTAGAGAAGGAGAAAACCGGCCGGAATGCTTAAGGTTTATCAATAACGAAGATAAACATGGTCTGAGTTACACACCGGTAATCTTTGAGTTGACTCTTTTAAACTTATTTTAAATATGACTGTTATTCGTTTTGAAATAACTCCTAGAATACTTTGCAATTGCTCGAATTCGAGCAACATGTACACTAGTAAGCAATAAGTTCTATATCAAAAATTGTTCTTAAAATATAACTATTTTTATATACAGCATCTTTTAATTTTATACACAAAAAATAAAAATGTTTGAAACCTAATCTCTTGCATTCACTATTTAAACGAACTCTGACCAAATGTTTCAATTGCTTTGTAGTACCAGTGACGGCATACAGTATTTGGTATGGTAGCATGGTAGGCTACCATAATATATTTGGATTAGAAGTATTGATATATTTTTGTTTATTACGTATTTAAATTATCGATTATTGCCGTCAATTTGTATGATTTTACAATATTACTACAATATAGGTGTGATTATTTTATTTTCATAATGGTTTTGGTACATAAGGCATTCTCGTTTTTATAATATGTTTAAGTCCTAGCATGAAAAGTACCATTGAGGACTTTCAAGTTTGAGTTTTTTATTGACGAGCAAAATCTTGCAATGTCTAATAAACACTCACAAGCTAACTATTTATATGAGTAACTGAAAGATGTTTAAATGGATCCAATATCGATTAATACAACACAAACATAGCATTGAATACAACATTACTCACTTCAGCTTTGTTTTTGTACTGTTAGTTTGCAGAATTACAATAAAATAACACAAAAGTAAGACAATTTCAACCAACTTGACGTGACCACTAGTCTCAAAGGACAAACTATGGGAGTAAAGTGATTTAAATTGTTTTGGATAGGTGATAAGGCATTTTATGAGTGTGTATGCGCGTGCGTGAGACAGACAGGACTAGACAGGATCCCTTATCAGCTCATTATCATTTATTGTTGCAGCTGCTTCTGCTTATCGCTTGTTTACGATTTCAGTCGACAATGCTCGCCAACTCCCAATAAATGTAATTTTTTGTTAACATCAGACGACTCTAGTTGTTTTAAAGTGTCTATATAGATTTAAAAAATCTTACTGGCGCTGTATGATTTTGACTCCAAAGACTAAATTGGAGATCAGAATTTCGACACATAACTTAATTAATTACTAATTTACAAAACCTTTAAATTGAACGGATAATATACTTCTACCCCTTAAAATCCTGATTGGTATATACTTAGAGGTAAAAGAAAAGAATAACATTTAATAAAACATAAACGGAGCAATGTTTTTATTTCTAAAAGTATTTGAGCTCCAGTGAATCTCCTTTTAACACAACACAATTTTACAAGTTACGTTCTACGTTGGGACAAGAGTTTTTATATTTATTGTATTTTTGCCCCAAGCGCGGGGCCCCCTTAAACTCATTCGCCGCGGCCGTACGTTCGGGCGAGCGGCTTCATTGAAACTGAAACTTGTCCGTCACAGCCTAGCACATATGCTCGTGTAAACCAGGCCTAAGCGTGGGGCCCAGTGTAACTCTGAGGAAAAGTCCCTTAGGGTCAAGAATTTCGTTCCTAGTAATGCCTTAAAATGCACCCAACAATAACCTTAAATATAGGATAATGAAAATAAAAATAAAGCTGTTACAAAAGAAGGCCATTTGGTAAGTGTCTGATCAATTTTCGAAGTTATTAATAAAAACTACTGTGCCCGGGGGCCCCGGGCGCTCGCCCCCTCCGCCCATAGGTAAGTCCGGCCCTGAGAAAAATCAATGTGAATCCTTTCCCAAGGTCTAGTAGCTGGTATCCAAGGATGGTTCACTTCTTTTTGTGGTGTGTTTTGTTTTTCTCGACATGCTCTGCATGATGCAATCATCTCCTCGATGTCTTTGTCTTGTCATTTCCAATAACCAAAACTTCTGGCTAATGCCTTTAGTTTTCAATACACCCATGTGTCCAAAGTGTAATTCTTTCATAATGATTTTAGTCAGAGATTTTAGAATCATTACCCCCCATCCCTTGAGGGTAACAAACTTCATGAAGACTCAGCTCACCATCGTGAAATCTGCCCATATTGTGAAGCATGTACTATCTTATTCATTTCCGTGTCATGGGAAGTTTCTTTTGCTACCAGCTTATGATCCAAACTCATTTTAATGATCTGACTTGTTAGGAAAACATCAATCTGGTTAATGCAGGTACTGTTTTGGGTCTCAGTCGGAAATCTAGAGAGAAAGTCTTCGTTTCCATGATCATTTGATCTTCTGAACTCAATATTGTAATCGAAACCTGATAAATAATGAGAATAATTAAACAATCGAGTTGCAGACGTGGATGGAAGACTTTTTCTGGGTTGAAGATTGTGACTAGTGGTTTTGAGAACCACATCTGTAACATTTTCCTTTAAGGCTCTCAAAAAGAGGTGAAGGTGTTTTCTGCTTCGATATCTTCGATTTAGTTTATACATTTTTGTATTTATCCTCAATCTGATGTACTGTATTAGATCTATTTGTTTTAGTTTCATAGTATTCAGATAGATCACTTTCATGATTTGCAATTTGCTGTCGCTACTTTGACAAAATCTTGAAACCATCCAAATGAGTTATCCTGAAGTAATTTGGCTCTAATATCTTTATTAACTAACCCCCTTATGAAATGCATTCGCAAAAGTGTATTAGCGATTGATTGCTGGCAAAACTAAAAGTTTAACTCACAATTAGATGTAAATTTTTGCAATTCCACATAATAAATCTTAACTGTCTCATTTGGTCCCTGTACTCTAGACATGAATTTATGCTGTAAAGCCCAAGTACTTGGCTGTGGATCAACATAATCTGTCAACATTCTCACCAATTCTGTATATGATTTATCCAAAGGTACTTAAGGAGCACATAAATCATAAACCTTCTGATGTAAGCTAGGAGTTAAAGAATGAAGTAATGTGTATAACCTACCTTATCTGTAGGATGCATTCCCTGTCCATGCAAGTGAATGAAGACTTCTAGACTCTTATAAAATTCTTGAATGTCTTGTGGAAAGGGAGCGACCATAGGGGTCTTCTGTGACTTTTCCAAGGCCTTTGATTGTGTTAACCACAGTATACAAAAGCTTGATGTGTACAAATTTTCTTAGCAATCAATTACATTAAGCGCCTTACCCCTGACGTGCCACCGAATGTAAGGGTTTGCAAGATATCTGTTTTCACCTACTACATTGAAGGTAGAATCAAAGTTAAGGTCTCATATTAAAGAGGATGAAATTTTCTATAGTTTGTGGTTTCATTATTTCAATTATTTTTAATACACACCTTATAAACCAGAGTTGTAGGACAAGAAAAAATGTCTTTTTTTAAATAGTCCTAACTTATTAAAAAAACTTTATTTGAAAAACGAAAAATTATAGATTGGTCTTTGTACTACTATAAGCCGTTAGAGTGCGTAGGTATCCATTATTGGTTAATTCAAAAACAGGAATCTTGGAAACCTCTGCAAGCGCTTCTCGCGGCGATGTTCAATGGTCCAACTTAGCTACTGAAGCCCGAGCTGAGATTTCCAAGCTGAGGTAGAGCGCACCCTTAAATCATACCTAGAATAGCGGTTTCAAAGAAATGATATTAGGCTATGAAAAATTTGTTAATATCAAATCTTAGGACCTTTGCTCTTTTTACTATATATAAATGATTTACCAAGGAATGTAAAAAAAATTATTCTATATGCAGATGATACAACAGCAATTATTAAAGCTAAGTCCTATTTTGAATTGGAGCATAAAATTAATCAAACTTTCTATGAACTGGCAAGCTGGTTTGAAGCTAATGGGCTAAAACTTAAATAAAACTCAACTATTTAATGTTCGTAACGCACAGTCAAAAGAAGGTTATAGTTCAGAAATCATCTTCCAGTGTAAAAAAACAAGCGCGCACGCTTAATGATTAACTGTGTTTCTTAACACAATACTGTTAGGAATAAAGGTTTTAATAATGTATGGACTGTAATTATTGTTGTTAGAAAACCATGAATGTACGATACTATCCATTTTCATAGTAATGTCAATGTGTTAAATTTAAAATATTGGTTTAAATACAATTCTGAGAAGAGAGTAGAAAAAATAATGGTAGCCACGTACCGTACCGATTTTGTACCGAGAACCGAGGTACAAAATGTTGTACCGTACTGAACCGTACCGACCTTAAATTTTCTGTACCCCAGACCCCTAGTTTCCTTTCCCGGTAATATCACTTCCACTGGAACTCTTTAACACAACCCTCTTGTTTTTCCATTTCTTGTTATATTTTTCATCCCTACATTTATCTGCACTAGACTGGCTTCCTTCACTGAATCTTCTTCCTTCCTGCATCTCTTCCACGTTTATTCACCAGACATTTTTCAAACTGAAGAGGTAAGACACGGATAACAGTGCATGTGGAGCTAGGACAAGGTGACAGCGCGCTGAATGTGTAGGCCGTAGGCACTGGACTGGGGGATCTAAGGTTTGCCTCACTTCTGGTGACTACAGTGTCTTGGCTGGCTGCCAGTACAGTAACCGGTGACGCCACCGGTGATGTCGTCTGCTGACCAAGTGTAATAGGGCTCTAACGGTACAGATTCCCTTAATATTTTTATACAGTTTAGTAGGTTAAACATTGTTGAGAATTGTTGTTTTGAAAATTAGTTGTAGGCTCAAAAACTTTCTTGACTAAACTAAGAGAACCAATGCCATTATTAGTTATCTAATTGATTATGCAATGCTACATACTTGCAATTGCCTCATTAGCTCCTTGCATTCGCCCCACCATCTTGGCCACCTCCATCTTGTGTTCTGCTCTTGCCTGAGCTAGACGCTCCTCCAGCTGTTGTTGTATTTTGCGTTCGACCTCCTTTAAAGTCAGAAAATGTTAAGAGTAGAATAAGCTTACTTTAGAAATTAAGATCCCATGTTCTTATACATATGCAATTAAAGGTCACAAAACAACACTGAAGACGTCCTCACATAGGATTTTTTCTAAGAGTAGACTAAAGTAAAGATTTCACTTAATATAAGTTAAAATCCAAAACTGGAGTAATCTTTACTGCTGTCGATTGTGGCCACTGATACACAGGCTGAAACATACACATAAAAAAGGAGTTGTTTTTTAACTGCTGCCAAAATGGCTGCTATAATGGCTGCTGAAGTATGTTTACACCCTAGAGTGAAAAAGAATCAGCTGAAGTCATGGGCATCAGGTGCGATTTTAGAATTTCTCTACTGATTTTGTGGAAAAAATTGTCTCGATTGATAAAACTAATGTTTCATCGTTATCAACATGTTTTTATAAATTCACCAAAATAACATTTGTTTTAAAGATTTTCTGGTAGGTAGGTAGAACAGCAGGCTTGCTTTACTGATAAAAATTGTTGAAAAACACTAATAAATCAAATATTTCTTCAAACACTATCAGAGTTGTTCTGTTACTTGTAGAGTAAATACCTTTTCTTTAATGCTGAGAGCCTCAGCTGTGAGATCTGCATACACTTCCTTGGTCTGCTTCATCAAAGTCTTGGCTGCATGGTCACACTTGGCCTGGTGTGCCAGTACCTACAAATAAAATTAGGAATGTTCCTTAGTTTTTTGGTAACAAGTGAAATAAATAATAGGTACTATTGTTTTTGTTGCATAAGACTTCCTCGGCCAGTACGTTTCAGCCAATCGCTGTTAATGGGAAGACAAATTCAACGTTATTTCACTCGCTCGATCCAACTGTTCAGACTAGATTACAAAAATAAAATGGTATTATTAGTAATCTTTTAGCAAAATACTATTAATTCGTGATGCTCGCTGTTAGTAGGAAGCATGATCAAGGGGACAGTTATTTCATTTCCTCGTTCAAACAAACAGTTAACACAATGTATCAAAAATAATAGGGTATTCTCAGTATGCTCAGTATTCTCTGGTGACCCATCAGTGGTAATATAATTTATCCTATTATGACAGATAACTTTCACCTCTACTAACTGAACTAGTCTCATCATCAGAAATATAAGCATAACTACCGGTTGAAACACACACAGATTAAACTACAAACTAGTGCACCTGTTGCTCGAAATTGAGCCATTGTCAGGTACCTCCCAGTATTATACAAGAGTTATTTTCAAACTAATAACATTCATAATTGTTGATGAGCTTAAAAGACTCAACTAAAAGCTTATATTATGGAAATACTCATTGCTGTTAGAAACAGTTTGATATAGATATAACAAACACGTCTTGTAAATATTTCATAATTTTTCAGAAGCTGGCCTTTTTTTAAATGTTTTCCGACTGGCTCATAGCTGTTACCAGTAAACATTTCTTGTATTTATTTGATCTGAAATTAGGCAAGTTTACTTTACCACTGTGATAACACGATGTGTACATTCTTCATGTATTTGTTTCCCTTCTTAAGTAAGTTGAATAACAGAACTGGCAAGTATAGTTGGTGGCAGCCAATACCAAGACTGGATTAGCGTGACGTTGCAATATCACCCATTCACTACTTTTCGACACTAATTAAAACAAACTAAACAATTATTTCAAATCAGCTGGTATTATTAGATTTGGCAACACCGCACTGTCCTCATTGGCTCTTTCGAAGTCACGTGGTAAATAGGCTCCTCCCTCAACTGCAGACTCTTGTGGACCATACTGTAGATTCCTTACTGTTAGACCAGGCCTATCTATTTTTACACATAAGACATCTTATTAATTGTCTCCTCGTCCTGTTTTCAATATTTATTCTTTGAACTAAAGGCATTTTTTGTTCTTCCAACGAAACTGATTAACTGTTTACATTGGTCTATAACCTCCTGAATAAGTATCACAAACATCAATATTTACTCCCAAAAAAAGCTTTCTTTGAGTTTCTTTTTATAAACAGCTATTTTTTTACTTGTTCTATGTAATTATTATGAGGAAAAACCTTTGAGAGCCTCTGGCGCCCTTAAAGGTGAGAATTTTAAAATTCTAAAACCTTATTGCAAAACATTAAATTGAGAATAATTTGTTGACATCTTAAACGTTTAAATTGGTCCACAAATAAGTGAGGAGTAGTGTTCACAAAAAAGGCTTCACGTATTACAGATATAGATAGATTTGTTATAAGACAAATGTGTATCCATACTTTATCAAAGAGACGATCAGCTACATTCTCTTTGAGACTTAACATTATTCTCTTGGCTGGTGTTAGAAGTTTGCCAAACAATCATCGTTAACTTAATATAGATAGCTAATTATTAACCTAGCTAACATTAACCAATTCATTTTACTATGAAACTATGAATAAATCAAAATGCATAAATTAAAATACCCACATTTTTCTGCAATTCTGCTCCATATTTTGCCTTCTCAAATCTTAGCATATGGGTGGCGAGATCATCTGCAATTTTTTGTATAGCTTCAGGATTATTGTTTTTGTAGTCCTCAATCAGGGAATTGAAATTTTCTTTACTCTCTGGCTAAAAATCAGAGAATATACTTAACGTGGATAATATGACCTGAGATTCAGTTTTATACATATGTTAAAATAATATTACCAGATAGAGATAAAAATTTATATTGTTGATTATTTGAGTATAAATCACACTAATATTATAAACTAGGTGAAACCCGCCGAAATCGATGGTAACTTTCAAGGCTTTACCTAACTGCGATAAATAAAGTGAAATCATACAAATTTTGAGCATTTATCATTGTTTAGTGGGTAATAAATAGGCTTAGAAATCTATTTTAGATCTATGTTATAGATTCTATAAAAAATATTTTAACTTATAAAATAAGATTATAGATTAGTTACAAGTTTACTATGAACATGAAGCCTATGAACATAAAGCCATAAACAGTTTTATGGCAGTAGGCAATGGACAGCGCAAATTGATTATTCACAAAAATACTGCCTGAGTTAGAGATAAAATTTAACAGTCATCATAAAACTATTATTTTTATTGCATTTTTTAGCAGTAACTGATTGGTTGACATTGACTATTGAATGTTAAGTCAAATATGGTTTCTTAATCTAACAAAGATACTATACTGTTGCATTTGATTTTTCTTTTATAATTCTTAAGATGTTCAATATGCTACCAGCTCAATTTTATACATGCAGCATAATATAAAGTGAGAAACAATTAATTCTCAGGACCAAATATGTAATACAAACTATTTAACTTGTTGAGCAAATTAAATTTACAAATAAAACATTTACTCAGCCAGGAGTATAACAGCAGCAGTGTATGCATGCAAGCCACTTGCCATACATAAAACATTTTTTTAATTAGAATAATTATAATCAATTGTATATCTACCTCTTCATTAGTGCAAATCAAACTCTGTTTACCCCAAAAAGCCATCATACTTATGACATATTCAATAAAAGAGTCGAATTGATCAGCAGGTACATTCAGTTTTTCATCATTCAACCAAATATTCGGAAAAAGTATTTCAAGTTCTTCCTGAAAGCAAAATGACATTTAATTGATAATTTTATATTAAAGATATAGATGAATAAACCTAAGAATATGATTTAACAACAATAACAAATTATTAACTCAATAATTAATTAATTGTAAACATGTGATTTAGATTGTAATGACATGTTTTAGTAAAAACAATTTAAATGTGGGTTTTTTAATTTTTATTTTGAAAACTGAGTGGTAATTTGTTCAAGAACATGCTGACGACATTGCGATTCTGGTAGTGGGTGTATTCAAAAAAACAGTCTCCGATCCCATTAATACGGCTTTGAGGTCAGTTGGCCAGTGAAGCACAGGGGTAGGCCTTTCAATTAAACCCTTGAAAGCGGCGGTGATCCCCTTCACCAGGATGTGGGATCTTAACGGCATCGGACCTTTGAGACGGCAAGGCTCAGTGTTTGCACTGCAGCATCATGTTAAGTACCTGGAGTGCTACTAGACCGAAAGCTGCAATGCCCACAACTCCAAAAGGTCATTGACCGAGGTAAGTGGTCACTCATGGCATGCAGGCGAATGGTGGGAGGGACCTGGGGGCTCAAGACCTTGTGCTCTGGCTGTTCGTCTCTGTGGTAAAGCCTGCCATGACACACGGATCACTTGTGTGGTGGCCCAAAAGGGACTCGGTGTTGATGGTGAGAGATTTGGCTGACGTCCAAAGACTCACCTGTTTCATCATCACTGGCCTGATGAGAAGCTGTCCGGAAGCTTCACTGGACTGCCTTCTCAACCTCACTCCAATTGACCTGCATGTCAAGGTCACTGCGAGGAAGACTACCTACAGACTCCAGTGTGAAAACCTTTGGTTGAACGTAGTAGGATCCCGAGGTCACTCTCGGATCACTCAGACGATAAGAGGGGAAATACTGGACATGCCCTCGGACCATAATGCCGATTCCATTCTTCTTTGCCAGGCCATTCACAATCCTTCTTCTATCCAGGGATGAGTGGAGTTCGGGAGGGAATCTTTTTTCACAGAGCGACCTTGAATGGTACTCATGGTTCTAAGATAAGAAGTGTGACAAGGTCTAGAATTCACAGAGTGAAGAATGGGGTGGACTTATGTCTTCCCACGGGAACACATCCCACTGTGTTCCAGGCTGAGATAACTGCGAACATTGGAGTGGGCCAGGGAGAATCTGGGGCAGGGCCTCGGGGACATGAAAATTTCCATTTTCACAGACAGCCAGGCTGCGCTCAAGGTGCTCGACTCCTGCGGGTTCAAAACTAAGGTGGTCTGGGTCTGCCGCAGTATGTGCCCTGGTCAGGTTGACGGTAATAATCTGTTGGGTTCCTGAAGGGAACGAGGTGGCTGAAAAGTTGGCAAACAAGGTGTCAGCCTCAGACTTTGTAGGATCACAGTCTTTCAGCGGAACTCCACAGGAAAAGATGGGTTAGGCCTCAAAACCATAGGGTAAGCAAGGTTTTCCTCTTCTCCCTTTTCCAGATTTTTTACTCCAAATCTCTTAGATTAGACAGGAGGCAACTAAGACAGATCACAAGAATGGCCATGGACCATGGCTTCCTGAAACTGCACCTAAATTGATTGAGAGTCTATAATTTTTTTAATTTATTAATTTATTTATTTTTTGTCCTAGGACGCTAGGCACGAGCCTGGGATTGTTTTTCACATTACTTCAGGCTAGACCTAGGGGTTACAACATTATTACTTAAATGAAATCCATTGGTGATTTGGCAGGATTTGAGCCCGGGACCTCAGGGACCGAAGCCTGCGCTCTAACCACTAGACCAGTTTGCTCCCCGAGAATCTATAATGGAGATACTGCATGTAGGAAATGTGGGCAGTACGAGGATACTGCAGATCATTTACTCCGATATAAGCTAGGGTGCTTGAGCTCCTCAGATGAGATTCAATGTTAACTTCAATTTCAGCTTGTGCAGTAAATAAAAAAAAGATTAAATGCCAAAGCAAATTCAGATTCAAAAATGTGTTAACCAACCTTTTTGTAACTAAATTTTAAACATTTTCTGGGGCAGGCAGGACCCCTTGGTCATCCCTCATTTTAAAGGTTATTTTTAACCCCCTCCTCCCACATTATGATGGACACCCATGCTAGAGAAGTATTAAACTCCAACTATCCGAATCAATTGGGACCGAACCACATTCGGATGTTAAAAAATTAGGATAATTGGATTTTTACCAAATTCAGGGTATTTAAAAAAAAAATAGGCTGAGTCATGCTCAATCTTTTATTATTGCGATCGCAGCAGGCAGCTTTGAAAATTTCGCCATCAGAACATTTACGCTTTCAACCACGATTGCAGAGTACAAGTATGGCTTTACGTGACGGCACAAGACCGCAGAAAATGTTCAAGATTTTGCCTTGATCATGGAAAATGATGGCAATGTTTCCGTGACCGCGGGAGACAAAGATGATGTCTACACAACCGTGGGATATATTAATTATTTTGCCGCAGTTGTGGAAAACGATGACAATGTTTCCCTGACCGCGGGAGACGATGATGATTTCAACACAACCGGGAGAGAGGTTTTAGATTATGCAGCGATCAAGTCTTCTGCTTTCTTTAAAATGATTCTTATTACTGGGGTTTAAAGTTTATTTTTTTTATAATTTCTGCAAGCAATTCGGATTAGTTGGAGTTTGGATAGTTGGAGTTCTACTGTATAACATATTTAAGGTAAAAGTATGAAAAAAAAGTAAACACAAAAAAAAGTAATGTAAAGTAAAGTGTTTATATTGCAATAAACATATTATCTTGAACTACAATCTTCTATTTAGGATTTTCCTGTTGTAAAAAAATGTAAAAAGCTTGTTTTCAAATAAATAAAAAAAAGATATATTTACCGAGAAATGGAGCCTTGCTCTTTTGACTTTATCCCATGAACGTCTCGCTAGCACTGTGTTTTCTTTTGTCTTTTCCAACTTTGCGATTGCATCCTTAACATCCTTTGAAACTGTATTTACATTATTTTGCGCCTTTGCTTTAATGTCATCAGATATGTATGTATCATCTTTTAACCTTGCTGTCAATTGTTTTTCAAGTGCTCTGTAATATATTAATTACAACAAATAACAACAAAAAGCTCTTAGCAGCAAACCTATTGAATCAAAATACCATAGTGGTTTAATTTTATTTTTAGAATGTATTAATTTGATTTGACAGGAACTATTCAAAGAAAAGAAAATACAAAGAAAATTTTCATTAATATCCCTAATTTTCTAAATAACACTGAGGAAAAATCATTTTAAAATAAAACAATTAGGTTGGTTTAATATTTTAACATAATTTTCTGCTAGGACTCAATTTTCATCTAGACAGTGACTCTGCTCTATCACAAATCACTATTAAGGCTGTTAATGTATTTGAGGTTCTTTAACATGAGCATGCATCATAAAAATGCAATATATCAATCTAGGAAGTTTTACAGGTTTAAAATAAATGTTGTAAATGGTACAACATTCCACCAAACTAACCAATATTGGCTAAGTAGCTGATTTAAACTTTTAAGCCAGTAGGGACTTACTAAACATGAAATATACATATAACCGAGGGTTAATAAAACCTCCAACCTAATAATATGTGGTTCATATGATAAGTCTTACTTGAAATTAAGGAGTTGAGATCGAGATTTCTCCATTCCCTTCACCGCATCGGACTGTAGCCTCCTAATTTTGTCCCATGTTGTAGTGCTGCTCGAACTAATTATTTGATCCAAGTATTCAACCATCTTTGAATAATCTGTAAATATATTAATGATCACTCATAACAAAATTATATTTTTTAAAGGAACATCTCCCACGGCCGTTATACATTATCATCCCCTCCCGCAGTCATGGAAATGCCATCGTCTTGCACGATCATGGAAAAATCATGAACATCTCTCGCGTTTGTTTAGACGTTTACGTCACCTTTCGCGGTAACAAAAACGTCATTGTTCTCCCGCGGCTGTTTATATATTATCACCGCCTCCCAAGATTACGGAAACGTCATCGTCGTCATGTCCGATTGCGGCAATAGTTGTTTCCGATCGCGCAATCTCCAGAGACATGTTTTAAGTGCATTTTAAGTGTTTTTATTGATAACATTCCAGTAATCCGGCATTTTCACTAATACGACAGTATCACGGTCCTATATCTACCAGATTACTGAGAGTCTACTGTACATTAAAATACTTTACCTACATGGCCGTTTTTCACTAGCCGTTTTTCACTAGCCTTTTCAATTTAATTTTTAGAATTGAAAATATTCACTTTAATGCATTGTTTACTTACTTGGCCACATTGTTTATTATTATTTTTCAGCATTAGTAATCGTAGGTTAAAAGCTAACAATTTAGGCATTTATTTATGTGTTAACTCAGGCTAAAAATAATTATATTTAGGCTAAAAGGGGTTTTAATATTTTAATTGAAAATTTAAACTAGTTTACATGGTAATAACCTAGGTTCTTACCAACGTTCAAGGCCTAGGTTCTTGTGCCTTCAAACCTAGTTGTCCAGTAGCCTATGTCCAAGACATGAAGTTATGTTAAGTACAACAAGCTTGATGATATTTAAGTTTATGTCCTTTATAAAGGGGGCAGACATAGGGCTAACAGTAAGTTGTAGGCCTACATCCCTATTACCTTGCACTGTTAATGTAAATGAAGATGAAGATATTTTTCACTAGGCTGGTTAAATAATTATTACAAAGATCTACAAAAGCCTACTTTTTGTCTTACATCCATCGTGTATTGTAATTTTAGGGTCTTAAAATGAAATTAAAATTATTAGTCCTCCCCTTTTCCATTATTTAAGGTAGCTCTTGGGACTCTCAGCATGATGTTGTATGAAATAAAGATTTTAAATTGAATTGAACTTTAAAATGTTTACTATTTAAGGGTCAGTATTCAATTTGAAAGGAAATAGTAGTATTCACACGACCTAGTTAAAAGAAAGTAGCCTTGTATAGGCCTACCATTAAAAACAGCATCTATTTACCATTTCAAAAGTGGACAATTTCGTAAGTACTGTATCTAACTTAATAATGATTAACAATCCTTGCAAACTTTTAAGGTGAAGTTGAAGTTAAAACTTGCCTCTTAAAGCACAAACTGTAGTTTCTAAACTTTGAATCGTGTCCTGAGCAGTTTTACTCAATTTATCTTCAAGCAGCTGCATTTCCTGAAGCTCTTTAGGCACCTGGGCTGACTTGGTAATGTCTTCTGAAAACATAATATATAAACAAAGGCCTAGTGGCAAAAAAATTCAATGACAGTTCAAAATAGTGTTTAGAATCAATCACAGTAGAGCTGGCTCAGCTCTGTTCATAATAGTAAGACACCTTAAATATACAGGGTGGTTCAAAAATAACTGACACATTGTAACATAAATTTCTATTTACAAAATTTTAACTACATGGTAACATTTACATATTATGTACAGATAGGAAAAGTCTAAATGTTTTTGGTGATATTCAATAAATATCAATATGGCCACTGTTAGAGGCTTTGCCGGTGTTAAATCAAAATTTAGCACATTGCACATCTTTGCTGAATTTCTCGGGGATGGAATTAACATTGCATGGGTTTTTAGCGAATTTCCCATATAGGGAATAAGCTATTACCGTAGTACTCATGGTAAGACCTGGACCCAGGACCGATTTTTTTTTTCGCTTTGAGGTCCCTAGAGGCCAAAAACACCATCCGTTCAAATTCATATCTAATATATAAAATTCTCGTGTCACAGTGTTTGTCTGCAAACTCCTCCGGAACGACTTCACCGATCGTTATGAAATTTGGTGTGTAAATTCTGTAGGTATGCGAATCGGACGTAAACTATTTCCCGTTTCGAAATTCTTAAAAGGGCTCCGCCCCAGTGGCTCTGGAGTTTCCCATGTTAACCTTATGAGAAACGGAATTAATGAATCTTAACAGCTGTTTCAATTAAACAAGTTGGTTCTGTTCTATGATGTTCAATAGCATTAAAGTTACAAGGATTACCAACAGGGTTCAGCACTATTATTTCTTTTACATTTATGACAACAGCTAATTTGCAACCAAAAGGTGAGTGAGCGTAGCGAACGAACTTCAACCTGGAGGCGAGTTAGCGTAGCGAACGAGCTAACCTGAAGGCAAGTGAGCGCAGCGAACGAGCTCCAACCTAAAGGTGAGTGAGCGTAGCGAACGAGCTCCAACCCAAAGGTGAGTGAGCGTAGCGAACGAACTTCAACCTGGAGGCGAGTTAGCGTAGCGAACGAGCTAACCTGAAGGCAAGTGAGCGCAGCGAACGAGCTCCAACCTAAAGGTGAGTGAGCGTAGCGAACGAGCTCCAACCCAAAGGTGAGTGAGCGTAGCGAACGAACTTCAACCAGGACGTGATTGAGCGATGCGAACGAGATCATCTTGAAAATTAAACGTAACGGTACTTTCTTTCCATCGGTCTGTCTTAGGGGAAACCTATAACTTAGGCGATACGAAGTTCGCCGGGTCAGCTGGTATATATATATATATATTTATATATGTGTCCGTTAGCGCGATAACTCGAGCAAAAACGATCCGATTTTGATGAAATTTGGTACAAACGTGTAAACCTACGTTTATTCGAACGAATTCGCGAACCAGCATGATCGGACCATGGGAACAGGGGTTTATGGGGGGTTTTATGGGGTAAAAATGGGTTTTTCCCACTTTTGACTCAAAAAACATAAAATTTTGCAATTTCTTTCCAAACTATTTTGTAGAGCTTAAAAAAACAAATAATTTAGTATATTGAAGCGTTATAATGCACCTAATGGTTACGGAGAAAATTCCAAAAAATTGTAAATTTAAAATTCCCATGTTATTCTTATGGAGAATAAGTAAAGTGTTGTAGTTTGCTTGTTTATTAACATTTTTTGCCCAAATTTGGAAAATGTTTTTATTTCTTACTATCTATTAACATTTTACATAAAAAACACTTTTACCCTCCCTGTTGCAGCAAACCTAAGTATGTGTTAAACTGATTCTATTTAAATAGGGAATAAATGTTGATATTTTTAAGGAGACATTTTAGTGTAAATCCAATCAGGCAAATGGAAATTCGCTTAGTCTGCAGGTTTGCTGCGGCGGGGGTATTTTTTTTAGTGCCGGCTGTTATTTTCACTTAAATTAAATTGTTCAATCTGCTGTTTTTAAAATAGGGATAAAACGGTTGTTCCTTGGTAGTTTATTGTTGTTTAGATTGATTCGTAACAATTCATCAGATTTATTAAACATACATTTTTAAATTTGAGGTTGAATTTTGATTTGCAAAGCCTTAAACAGTGGTCATATTGAGATTTATTGAATATCACCAACAACTTTTGATTTTATCTAACAAAATTTTTATCTAAAACATTTTATCTAAAATTTTAACTACATGGTAATATTTTCATATGTATAGTGTTTGGTATAATAAGAAAAATATATGTACTTAGAATGAAATTAATCAGTCTTAATTAGGCTAATTTTTAAAGTGCTAAATAATGTTGAATTACTGTCACAGACCTTAGTGAAGCTGAAGAGATGTTTGGTTTGGGGTACCCCACCTGACTTGAAGCACTGGGCAATGGCGGCGTCGACGAGGACAGTCCATGTACACGTTGAACTACTTGCACTATTACAATTATCCGTTAAATGAACAAAAAATAATTTCTTTTTGGGATAAAAACAAAACTATTGTCACTTCTATTAGCTTAGCACTGTACAGACTGATTAATTTAAAAAGTAAAAAGGTAAAAATTGCGGGATGATGAAAAGATGATGCGGATAGACAATAGAAAATATGATGATAATTCAGCGGCAGACGACAGTGGACTGCCTCGTTTGAAGGATATCAGCGTTGAGGGCAAAGGCTGCATACCTTCGTTATCGCGAAGAGCGGCTGAATAGCGGAAAATTACTTGGGCTAGGTTTTGTTTGAAACAGAAAAATATAAATAAGGAATTGTTTGGTTTTAAAATCAAGAAACTTAAAATATCCAACATATAGATTATATGAAAATATTACCATGTAGGCCTAGTTACAATTTTGTAAATAAAAATGTATGTTAAAATGAGTCAGTTCTCTTTGGACCTCCCTGTATTTCAAAAAACTTGCGAGCAAAATATCAGTTTTACCTTTTTTGGACAAAATTGGTGACCTGAAGCTAACTAAGCAGCCCATCAACTAAGTTTTATATTTTTGAAAAAAAAAAACACAAAAAACAAACACAAGCTATAGGTCTATTTTGTACTGGCTGGATTGAGTTACATTAGACTTTAAAACCCAGAACAAAATTGCAGATAACAAGCCGTCTCAAATTCCAATAGAGTTATAGGCTAACATATTTTTTTTTCAAATTTATGGTAATAATTAATAAACCTCTAGTTTACTCAGCTAATTTATTTAGTTGTACTTTGGGGAAATGAGTTTTGTATCAAAAGTTACAAGAGAAAAATCTAATTATGAGAACTGGTACTTAAATTTTCGGGAGGGCTGGAACTGCACTCAAGGTCAGTCCCTGGTCCTAATCCAACTACGGAACTGCACTCACGGTCACTTTGAGCCTTTCTGGGGGTACCAGAACTGCACTCACGGTCAGTTTTTAATTAGCCTTTATCACATTGTGCAACACCATGATTGAATTGATTAAAACTTATTAAATTAGTTGAAATATATTAAAAAGTTTTGATTAAATGAATCTAAACGTCAAAAAATAAACTTACTACTGACATTGTAAAAAATACACATATATATGCGCACAGAAAATTCTAGCATAGTATTTACGATAACATGATAGGCTATATTCTTATTATAACGAAGCTTCTTTTGTAAAGGTTAGGTTAGGTTAGGTTATTTATTGTTGTATTTATTGGGACAGACACTAAAACGTGTATTAAATAAAGTATTGGATAAAGTAAGACAGAGAACGGAATAAACAGATTACTAAGGGGCTAGCAAAGCGTTCAGCCGTGAAAGACCGATTTTTGACCGTGAGTGCAATTCCATATGGCTTAGGCAGGCTACCCTTCTAACCCTTGTAAATTCCTTTGACCGTGAGTGTAGTTCGTTGTCAGCCAAATTTTCACCCAAAACTCGAAATAAAAAATCTTGACAAAAACAATACTTTTAGCGAATTTCCCGTAGAGGGAATAAGCTATTACTGTAGTACTCATGGTAAGACCTGGACCCGGGATAAATTTACTTTTTTGTTTTAAAGGTCCCTAGTGGCCAAAAATACCATTTGTTCAAATTCATCTACATATACATATATATATATATATTTTATGGTTCTGTTCACTTTTTTTAGGGCTACTTTTTCAATACATAACTCAAGCGAAATAAAAACCAGAGTACCCTGAAATTCATATTTATCATATTAATTTTAATAACAATGAATTTCAGGGTACTCTGGTTTTTATTTCACATTTATATATGTGTCCGTTAGCACGATAACTCGAGCAAAATTGATCCGATTTTGATGAAGTTTGGTATACACGTGTAAACCTACATTTATTCAAATGAGTTCACAAACCAGCATGATCAGACTATGGGAACGGGGGTTTTATGGGGTAAAAATTGGTTTTTGCTATTTTAGACCCAAAAAACTTTATAAAATTTAGCAATTTCTTTCCAAAATAATTTGTATAGCTTAAAAAAAACAAATAATTTAGTATATTGAAGCGTTATTATGCACCTAATGGTTACGGAGAAAATTCCAAAATATTGTTAATTTTAAATTCCCATGTTATTCTTATGGAAAATAAATAAACTGTTGTAGTTTGCTTGTTTATGAACATATTTTGATCAAATTTGGAAAATGCATTTATTTCATACTAAACTATTAACATTAAAAAAAAAAAAAAAAAAAAAAAAAAAAAACTTCTTTACCCTCCCTGTTGCAGCAAACCTAAGTACTCGTTAAACTAGTGCTATTTAGATAGTGAATAATAATGTGATATTTTAAGGAGACATTTTAATGTAAATCCATTCAGGCAAATGGAAATTCGCTTAGTCTGCAGGTTTGCTGCGGCGGGGTTATTTTGATATACACTGACTGTATCGGAGGAAGTAAAAAGAAACCATTTTTCAAGAATAAGTATTCATATGTAATGACTAACCTGTTTTTTCATTTTCAATTTTTGGGAGAAATGCAGATTCAGGGGCTGAAACAAAACAAGCAAACAAATTATATTGAATAACCTAAGGCATTCTCACATACTACAGTAGAAATTATCATGATTTAGATCAGATTTGTATGGTTGTTAGGAACAAGAAAGTCCTGCCAGATATATTTAGAAAGTACACAAACATTCTACAATGTATAAATTAAAAATAACAACAAAATCTTAGTTATCAACTAGGTTAAAATTTTAATGCATCCATCCACCATTTACAGTCAAGTGATAAAAACAATAAGTAACTATGAACTACTGTACAAAGTTTCACTAGGAAACATTCAGGATAGCAACTGCTTTTAAGTTTTTTCCTGGAGGGCCGCCACAGCTTATAAATGTTGCTTGGGCTTTTACGTTTTTTACCGAAATTGAGTCAGATATTGCTTCAAGTGTGGTAATACACGGTTCGAAAATTCCAAAATAAATTGTTACCCAGTTTTTAAATGTTGAAAATTGCAAACTTTGGACCTGAATTACTGGATCATTGTTACATATTTTATAAATTTTTTAAACATTTCTTACGCTAGTAGAGATGCTTAAAGTCGTGAAAATAATAAAAAGTCATATTCTAACATTTTTGTATTTGTGTTTCGAAAAACATTTTTTATTTTAGGCAAATGCAGTGGAGGCAACTCGTCACTGAATTTAATGGAAGCCTTTTATTTATTTATTTCCCAACGGCATAGCCACTTTACAATGAAAATACATTTACAACTTGAAATAAACAGAAATAAATTGTAATGAGTTGTAGTGAACAGTAACAAATAAGTAGTAACAATATAAATATTTACAAACTATTAATAGAAAGTTATAGATGGCAACAGGTATAAAGTGCATGAGTGAGATAAAAAAATACAGTGTGAAATTATTATACAATAAATAAGAGAATAATTTAAATAAGAGAATAAAAAAGAGAAATAAGAACATAAGATGGATGCAGGAACAAACATTAATAATACAGTTCTACAAATTTTGCATACATCAGAGACAACATAAATAAATATTGGTGAAAATCTAGCGTCAGGTGGTAGGCCTTCAAGTTCAGGTGCAGGTTCAATGGGTGAAGATTTTTGATACACATCTTCTGATGTGAGAGAATGTGTCACAGAACAGGTGATAGTCTGGAGCAACAGTCTTCGGACGAAGAGTTCCCTATTCTTAGTGCCAGACGGTACCTTAAAATCTATTTTTGACAGGATGTCCGGACAAAATAGAAGACCTCTGATCATTTAGAGCAGAAGCATGTAGTCAGCCATGTCTCGGCGCACCCCAAGAGATACAGGCTGGAGCTCAAAAGAGAGAAAATCAAGTCTTAAGACCAAGCCACTAGCCCCAAAGCAGAACAACGAACGACGCTGCGACATTGTCGCGGACACGAAACGCCGAGAAACGCGGGCCTGCGGACACATTTACGGAGTCATAACGACGATCGCGCCGTGGCCGCGATTATTGGACCGACGATCGCACCGTGACCGCGGAGTCATACCGACCCCGACAGTCACGCCGTGACCGCGGAGTCATAACGACGATCGCGGAGTCCTACCGACGATCGCGCCGTGACCGCGAGTCATACCGACGATCGCGCCGTGACCGCGGAGTCCTACCGACGATCGCGCCGTGACCGCAGAGTCCTACCGACGATCGTGCCGTGACCGCGGAGTCATACTGACGATCATGCCGTGATGGCGGAGTCATGCCGACGATCGAGCCGTGACCGCGAGTCATACCGACGATCGCGCCGTGACCGCGAGTCATGACGACGATCGCACCGTGACCGTGGAGTCATACCGACGATAACCCCGTGACCGCGGAGTCCTACCGACGATCGCGCCGTGACCGCAGAGTCCTACCGACGATCGCGCCGTGACCGCGGAGTCATACTGACGATCATGCCGTGATGGCGGAGTCATGCTGACGATCGAGCCGTGACCGCGAGTCATACCGACGATCGCGCCGTGACCGCGAGTCATGACGACGATCGCACCGTGACCGTGGAGTCATACCGACGATCGCGCCGTGACCGCAGAGTCCTACCGACGATCGCGCCGTGACCGCGGAGTCATACTGACGATCAAGCCGTGACCGCGAGTCATACCGACGATAACCCCGTGACCGCGGAGTCATACCGACGATCGCGCCGTGACCGTGGAGTCATACCGACGATAACCCCGTGACCGCGGAGTCATACCGACGATCGCGCCGTGACCGCGAGTCATGACGACGATCGCGCTGTGACCGTGAGTTCTACAGACGATCACCCCGTGACCCGCGAGTCACAAGTTTCTATAGGTACCTGTAAATTGTTACCCATTTTTTGGTTTTTATAGATCAGTGCCACAAATGGTAAAAATTGATTTCGTATGTCTTTTTTGGTAACTGCAATACAGTACATTTTTTTATGCACAAAAAAAAATCCTGTCCCATCCCGTCCCGAAAATCGGGAAGGAAATAAAAATCCCGTCCCGAACTAAAATTTCAATCCCGTCCATCCCTAGTGTGTTTATATAAAGAAACTATAGTTAAAGTTTTACTTCTGAAGACCTTGTTAACACTTGTTAAGGTATGTGTATACGTATTTAAAAAAAAGTAAATTTAAATAACCTGATTATGCCTACCCCTTAATAGTTTTTTAGTTTTTTGTTTTAAAAGTAGGCTATACAAGTTATTGAAATTTACTTATTTTATTTAACTATATTACTAGTAGCCCTAAAGAGTGAATATATATATATATATATCGGTATATAAGTCATTATTTAGCTTTTTAGTTTTAGCGCTTGCGGACACATTTTGAGGTTTTCACAGGCCGTTGCAGACACGTAGGAACCATTCTGCTTTGGGGGCCACTAGTAGCCTCAACTGTGGAAGAGTAAGCACCAACTGTTTCGGGGCAAACAGTCATCAGTTCACGCTTGAATCCAGGAATATCGTATTTATCGGTTTTTAAACTGTTTTAACATATTTGATTTTGTACTGGGGACAAAATATATAAATTAACTACAAATGCTTTACAATAAAATCATAAATATTTTACCTCAATTTTAAACATTTCCTGGATCCCCGCCCTCTTTACTCTAGGAGTTATTCCGTACTCCCCAGCCCCCCCTTGATGAAATATAGATGGACGGCCATGGGATAAACATGGAACATATACGCCTGTGTCTCTGCCTTCTTTTCTTGATTAGTAACGCAAAAAGAAGGAGATGTTCATTATTAGTCAGCATTTTCTCAACTAGTTGGACAGTGGCTTGCCAGTTGCCTGTACCATCAACTGCAGTTGCCCGACCAGTAGCCGGTGGCTGTCTAGTGGCCTTGTGTGAAAGGACCCTTAGTGTAAAGGTAGGACACAACAGTTGATTACTATTGGATGTTGCTTGTCGACATTTTGCAAAATCTCATTTTTAATACTCACGCTTGTAAGGTTTTGCATCACAAGGCTCCAAAGCTGGCAACTTCCCAGACTGGTCTCCGAGAGTTCTAAAATTGGAGTTGTCATGTTTACTTCCACTGTTTTCCTTAAAAAGGTAGTATAAAGCATTTTTTATCCTGAAAAAAGTATATTAATTTAAGGTTTAACTTTATATAAAATTCACAGCCAGTAAAATTAACTTTGAGCAATCAATAAGATCTATAAGAAATGCATATGTTGCTATTTGGCAAAACCAAACCAACAAAATTTCAAATACATTATTTATTTGTAATAATAATATATGAACAGAGAGAGAGGCTACAATAATGTATCTTGAGAAAATAAATTTCTCAGGGGTTATTGATAAAATAAAAGGAACAGCGTTTCAGTACAGCTTTGATTATACGTACATTTTAATTATTAAAGACCACTTAGCTAATGTGTGGTTTAACTGTTCATTTGTATCTTTTTATGAGCTTTAATTCAAGCTTCCATCGTAGTTTCTAACTTGTTCCGTCGCTGAAATAAAATGCCTTTACAAAAACCATAACAGATTTTTTTAATTGATGGAAAATTCTAAAACTTATAAATATGCTTAAAAAGTATATGTTCTAAAAGCTATCAAAATTTCATGACAATTACATCAGTAGGTAGTATTTTTGTTATAAAAAGTCGCCCGTTGTTATAAAAGCGCTGAAAACCTGTACTTTTTTCATTCAACCTGCTGAAAGGCTGAATTGAAACTGCATAAAAAATTTGAAAGCAACACACCCAAATGCTCTGGAATCGGGAAAACCAGATTGTTCTGTCAGTAAATTTGGAAAAATTAGTGAATGTTGTCTAGAAGATCTGCCCAAAATAACCGTATTTATACAGATAGTGGAGTAAAACATAAAAGTTGAACAATTCACACTATGTCAGTGGCCACAGTAGTATGTATTCAAATTTTGAAAGCAATGCAACAAAAATAAATTGACAAGGCAAATTTAGCTTAAAAAAAGTGGAATGTACCAAATACTTTAATAATATTTCAGGACTAACCTTAAGGCCACCCTTTTTACTGGGGTTTATTCCGTACCCCACCCCCGGCCACCCTTATGCAATCAAGGTTCTATGGTGTCATTAAAATGGTTAACTGCAGGAGCATTATTTGGGTACCATACTATATATAGGGTGGACCAAAAAAACAGGGACAATTTTAAAATGTTATTATTCAGCTGTTATAAAGGCTGGAGAGTTCATTGATATGGCAAAAGAAAGTTTATTTGATGCCATTTAGTGTATAGTTACTATGGATCATCAATGGTTACCGCAACATCGTGCCTTTGTCATAGAGACTTTTTTGAAGAATAATTTGACTTTCATTTCTACTCAACGTCAATTTCGTTTTCACTTCAACATTGGCCGTAATGGTGCAACCCCAAAGCCAAAAACTATTTAAAGTTGGGTAAGTAATTTCCAGAACACGTCTTCTGCACTCAAACTCAAACCTAGTGGGATACCTCGGACTGTTCGGACGCCGGAAAACATTGAAATGGTTCGCGCGAGTGTCCTGCGTCGAACGTCCAAAGCCAACCGTTTGCAAAACATTGCATTGAAATTTAAATTTGCATAGGTTTAATTTTGAGTACAAAAGCCGTGTTTAGGACATTGTTTACCCATCTTTGAGTAGTTCATTCGGTTTGGGGCTGGACCATTACGGCCAATGTTGAAGTGAAAACGAAATTGACGTTGAGTAGAAATGAAAGTCAAATTATTCTTCAAAAAAGTCTCTATGACAAAGGCACGATGTTGCGGTAACCATTGATGATCCATAGTAACTATACACTAAATGGCATCAAATAAACTTTCTTTTGCCGCATCAATGAACTCTCCAGCCTTTATAACAGCTGAGTAATAACATTTTAAAATTGTCCCTGTTTTTTTGGGTCACCCCGTAATAGCTTAATTTCCTATATGGGAAATTCGCTAAAAAAACCAGTTCCTTTGCTATTAACATGAAAATTTAAAACTTATACCAAACCTATAGCATACTTACCTAGCACTGACAGCCTTATGAGCTTTATCAAGAGATTCTAAATATGTTTGTTCCTCTTGAAATATAATTTTGACCATGTTGTCTAGAGCAGGAATATGCTCTTTAGACCAATCTCGGAAGTCATTGTCATGCTTTGCAGTTACGATAGCAACTGTAGTTCCAAAAAGAGCTATGGCTGCTAGTTTCCTGATTTTTCTAGACCTGTAAAAATATTTTTAATACAAATGAATTAGGCTAATATTATTATGTTAATACTAGGTAGATTTAGGAAGTATTCACAACATTTTACTGATAGTATAAGTTAAGGACTTAGTCAGTATAAGCCACTTACACCATGCAAAACATTGCTTACTTGATATAAATTTTTTACGTCAATCTTCTATCTCCCTTCACCAGTTACGCACATTTTCTACATTTAAACACAGTTTAGTTAGATGCTTCAACTGGCGACTAGACTTAAGAAATACGTAACAGAATAGCTTAGTTTTAATTATAAACTTTGGGGAAGGAAATTCAGTCAACTATGTTATAAGATGAAGTTAATAAATTTAAATCTCAAAGTTTAAACAAAGGAAAGTTAAATGGTAACAGTGGAAATGTTCACATTGCAGGTTTTCTGCCTGTTTTCTGACCAATCAATATTTACCCTATGCAAATTCCTAAATCTCTACCTCAAAACATTGTACCCATACATTCAATGGGTATAGCCTAAGGACAAGAGTATGCCATAACTTATGTTGTGAAAGTAAGTAATACTTTCAGTAATTTTTACACCGATTGTTTTGGTAGTTTTATAACTAACAAAACTTAGTTTCAGACAATGGACAACCGGCTAAACTTAATGACTCTACCACTTCAGTGTACAAAGGTAACATCTTGTTGTGGAGGTATTAAATTCTTTCTCATGTTTGAAGCCTTTTATTTTGGGTTTTTATCAGACATAGATTTAGCGAATCTTGACATTATATCACATCAAGTACTAGGTCCAATGATTTTAATTGGATACATTATTTTACTGAAACTTACTTTTGAGGCTCATCTTTACATGAATCATTTTCATTTGAACTCGTAGTCTTGTATCTCTGTTGAAGAGTGAAAAGTGGTAAAGGTGTAGTATCTGTAAACCTTTCGGAACGTATCTGAAATTAAAAAAAAATATTGATAGAAACATGAAGTCCCTATACGGTTTCATGATAAATTTCATTCAATTTCTGTTTATGGGGCGTACTGTCAGAATTGACAAATAAAAGTTTATGTTGACTTACAGTGTTGCCGTAAAAAATCTGCTATTATATATTCAACTAGGCTGTTACAATCATAATTTATGATAGGATCGTTACTAGGCCTACATCTGTTTCAGGCTGCAAAAAATTGAGCACATGTTCAATGGTTGAGTTTGCAAGAAATTTTAATTGGAAACTGTAAAAAACAACATTTAACACTAGTCGGCTAGACACTGATAATCAGTGGCGGTTCTAGGACCTTGTCAAGGAGGGGGCTACCGGGGGGCTTGGGGGGTGTGGAGCACCCCCAATGTAGTAGGGGGGTCCGGGGGCCCTCCCAGAAAAAAATTGTAATTTCCAAAGCCGTTTGGTGACTTTCTAAAGCCATTATTAATGTCTATATATGTGTCCAACTGTCCAAAAACCTCCCATTTCACCTGTTATTTGTCATGAGCAAGTAGACATTTAAAAAATTAAACTAAGACAAACTTTCATTCATGAATTTCAAAACATAGGCCTAAATGCGAAGCCATGTCTCTTAAAAGCCCTTTGGTGACTTTATAGAGCCATTTTTAATGTCTAGAAGTGCTCAACTGACCAAAAAACTCACTAGTGTTTATATAGTTAATGGTAATAGGCTACTGGTGCAACTGATGATGGCTGATGCCTGTGTTTCCCCGTCCTCAATGTCGCGCTCGCCTTTGCCCTAGCGGCTGACTGCTGTAAAAATTGGATGATGCGTACAACTTTCCATAGCGTAATACAGTAGAGACTCGAAAATCCGAACGTCAAAAATCCAAACCGCTCAAGACTCCTGAGTGTTTGAAAATAATGAATTAGCACAGAGACAAGGGATGTTTTACAATTTCGCGGGCCTAACAGTCGGTGCCTGGCAGGGAAATGAGTGAACGTGCCGAGCTAGTCTGTGTTTTGTTCGTTTCCAATGTATAAGCTCTACATATTTTTTTCAAGAAACGAATTACAGTTATGTATCAAAAATACCTAAGTAGGTACAAAAATCATTATTAGCGAATTTCCCATATAGGGAATAAGCTATTACCGTAGGTCTCATGGTAAGACTTGGACCTGAGACCGATTTACTTTTTCCTTTTGAGGTCCCTAACTTAGAGGCCAAAAACACTATCCGTTCAAATTCTTATTTATATATATTTTTATATATGTGTCCGTTAGCACGATAACTCGAACAAAAATAATCTGATTTTGATGAAATTTGGTATAAACGTGAAAACCTACATTTATTTGAACGAGTTCGCAAACCAGCATGATCGGACCATGGGAACGGGGGTTTATGGGGGGTTTTACGGGGTAAAAATGGGTTTTTCCCATTTTTGACCCTAAAAACATAAAATTTTGGAATATCTTTCCCAACCATTTTGTAGAGCTTAAAAAAAGAAATAATTTAGTATATTGAAGCATTGTTGTATGCCTAACGGTCACGGAGAAAATTAAAAAAAAGTGTAATTTAAAATTCCCATGTTATTCTTAAGGAGAAAATGAAAACTGTTTTTACAGATTTTAATAAAATTTGGCAAATTTATTTATTTCATACTACACTATTGACGTTTGGTCAAAAAACACTTTTTACCTTCCCCGTAGCAGCAAACCTAAGCACTCGTTAAATGTAATTCTATTTAAATTGGGAATAAATATGTGTTATTTATGGAAATATTTTAGTAAAAATGTAATCAGACAAGTGGAAATTCGCTTAGTCTGCAGGTTTGCTGCGGCGGGGGTATTTTTATTTCATTCACTGTATCCTAGAACTGTATTTTTAATACTGTAGACCTAATTTTGTGTCCAATAGACATTTCTAGGCTATGTTTGAAAATCCGAACAAATCGGTACTGAACTACCTACAATTGGTTCGGATTTTTGACTCTCTACTGTATTGTTTTATTCGTCGTGCTATATAAACGTATGTTCTGTGATAAAATCTTTAAAATACTGTTTTTTATTTATCTTTAGAAAAAAATTAAATATCGTTAATGGTGTTAGTTTTATGGTTCATTCAAACGATGTATGAAATTAACTCGGTATATAACGATGGTAAATACACAACTTGACAACTTGGATAAGTCGTAATGGTGTGGATTGTTGGCCAGACAGGTCGCTGGACCTGTTTTATCGGCTATATAAAGAGCTTGGACTATTCATCTCCAGGGGATAATGAACAGAAAATTCACAAGGGGATAATCAGATGTGCGCTTGTATGAAAGACGTTGTCTTTTAATGCTACTGTTGGTGCCTTTATAGCAACTTAGCAGACGCACAGGCACAGCCTATGTCTGCTATTTCCAGGACTAATTAGATAGGAACAACCTTTTACACATGTATATAGTTAATTAGTTATAGTTAATTAGTTTAGTTTTGCATAAAGCCCTTTTTTCTTTTGTACATTTGGTTGTGTAATTTTATATATGTGGGGGAATAAATTCATAATTCATTCATTCATAATTCATTCATTCATTCATTCATTCAATACATTCATTTATTCATTGTTAAATTATGTTAGTGAGGAAAGATCACGTGGCTGAAGTATTTTTCATTAGCATGAGTTTGAGCACTACAATCAGTTGGTAAACTCTACTTAAAGCTAGTTTTGGGTTTTCGGTGAAGATATTAATAATAAGGTATAATGTCTACATCATTTTAGAGGTTATTCTATTGGAAATATTTGTTTATGATTGGATAAAAGTAATTAGTTGTAAGAATGGACCATGTAACTAACACCGTAAACGATATCCAATTTTTTTTTGTAAATCATGATTTTAAAGATTTTATCGCAGAACCTACATTTATATGGATGTTAATCCTAATAGTTAATATTCTTGTGAGGAATTTCACAAGGATCGTAAACATTACAATAAACCCCATTTAAAAATGCAGCTATTTATTGCCATATTAATTAATCAAATGCATGTTACTTTTAAGAAAATGCCACTTTAATTGTTCTGTTTTTTTTGTTTTTTTTTTAGAAAAACTGTTAGATTGAAGAACAAAGTACCCCCGCCGCAGCAAACTACAGACTAAGCGAATTTCCATTTACCTGGCTGGATTTCTACTAAAATATTCCCTTAAAATTGTAAGATTTATTTCCTATTTAAATAGGTAACATTAATTTTAATGAGTACTTAGGTTTGCTGCTACAGGGAATGTATTGAGGTAATGAGGTGTGTTTTTTTATTGAATTATTGATAGCTTAGTGTAAAATAAATAAAATGGAAAAAATTTGATTAAAATATATCCATAAACAAGCAAACTACAACAGTTTATTTATTCTCCATAAGAATAACATGGGAATTTTAAATTTACATTTTTTTTAATTATCTCCGTAACCGTTAGGCATACAAAAACGCTGCAATATACAAAATTATTTCTTTGTTTAAGCTCTACAATATGGTTGGAAAGGAAATTGTGAAATTTTGTGTTTTAGGGTAAAAAATGGGAAAAACCAATTTTTACCCCGTAAAACCCAAACCCCTTTAGTACTATTTGACACTCTCTATAGTTCAGAGTGGCATAGAGATGCCTACATGAAAGTTAATGATGTTTTCTGAAAAATCATAAATTCAAACTTCATTGCAGAACAAGGGCTTATACGGAGTTTTGATCTCAATTATATTGTACTATAATTATTGGAAGTTAAATGAGGATTCTGAAAATGACAATGACGTTGAAATAAAAGCAATCTTTAGTGCACATTTGATCTAATCAAATACAAATATTTTGATTAAGTCTTTTTTGTCTGTTACCGCCTACCTTTGAGGGTATGGAAACTTAAACTGGTGCTATTCTGTCAGTAACACTTAGTAGTTTAACACATACAAATTGTTAAAACTAACTTTGTGTCCTTTTTCTGTATAGGGTATATGAATTTGAACGGATGGTTTTTTTAGGCCTGTGGAGACCTCAAAATTAAAAAGTAAATCCATCCCGGGTCAAGGTCTTACAATGAGACCTATGGTAATAGCTTATTCAAAAATTCCCTTTATGGGAAATTCGCTAAAAACTAGCTTCGACCAACGGACATCTCTCAGTCTACTACCAAAATGCCATTGACAACAAACTGGATGAGCTTAAACTATCTAACCTTGTCAAGCTTTGATGTGATAATCATTACTGAAACCAATCTCTCAGGTGATGTAAATGATGCTGAAATATGTTCTGGCAAGTATACAATTTTTCGATGTGACAGATTGTTACAAACCATCATTTTCTTTTCTACCCGTATGTTGTGACCCGAACTGGTAGCCTGTTAGTATTTCACGCACTGGATAAGATGTAAACTATTTTTATTGAATAACTAAAAAGTGAACTGCCTTGTATAATAATTTGTAACGAACAACTAACTAGAAGAATGTAAAAGTGTAAACATAAACAATAAACATCCGTCTTGACCATTATTTGAAATGACACATGTTGTCAAGACAGATTAAGGGATATGATACCGTAGAAGAGAGGCATCATCTCGCCGTTTCTATATATTTACCCTGCAATAGAAAAATACAGAGTGCACCAAAAAAACCGATATATTTTCTGCAATGACTGGTCGTCTGAGGGTGGTGGGGTTAGGCTCGTTGGAAAGCCTACACACTGCCATTTTCTGTAGTCATTGAACAGTGGTCTCCTGATCAACGCGTGTTTGTTTTTAAAAAGTTTTGTAAAAGCGTGTGTTAAAGTATGTTGTAGGCCTATTTAAAAAGTAATGATTCAGTCTTTACAACTCAGCAGCAACTCTTCCAATTAGGTCGACATGGAGAGGTTCCATCGCATAGCACAATCATGGGGTGTGCTACTAGCTTTAGAACAACGGTTTCTGCGTTCAAAAAGAAGCTGATATGCCATCCAAAGTCAGATTGGACGCCAGACAACTAATATTCAATAGAGTTTAGTGC